TAATATGCCCTTTGTAGGGTACAGTAACACAGTATGCCCTTTGTAGGGTACAGTGATATAGTTGATCTTGTTATAGGTACAGTATATGTTTTGTATAACGACTGTGATATTGTATGGCTTCACAATAATACATAGATTGTATGCCAGCTCAACATATAATCATCCAGCGTAAGGCACCATGAGAGATATATCCATGAGAATAAAAAATAATAATTGTATCAATAAATGAATGTGCCCAGAGAGGGGCACATTCCAGATGCAGGGCGCGGTGATCGGGTGATTCCTGTAGGGTGTAGTAATATAGTATGACCCTGTGCCGGGTATAGTAATATTGTATGACCCTGTATAGGGTATAGACCCTGAGTAAGGTACAAAGACATAATCTCCTTTAATGCCTGCATGTAAGTATTTGTTTGGCAGACACTGTTGGCAGACACTGTGGCAAAATACATCGAAAGAATGCATGGAGAAAAAACTGAAATCCAGCTTGCACTCTCCCATTGTTCACTTGGGAGAGCATACACTTGTGGAGCCAGGCGGTCGGGTGAGTTCCCGATCCGCCGAGCGAGCAGGGAAGGCGGCCCTCGGGTATCTCGCGAGCCGCGAGATCCAAGATGGCCGCCACCCACATGTGAAGGTGCGCCGCGGATCGCGGTCGCGCAGTGCAAAAAAAAGGGGATAAATGCAACACAAACGCTGACCCCAGCCTCCCTCCACCTGTCCCCCTACAGTCCCCTGTGTAAGTGAAAGGGGCCGGTCCGCAAGTCGAGCGCAACACGGGTAGTCGTTGCGCCCGCGGATACCAGGCAGTAAGGTGGAAATAAAAAGGGGGAAAAAACAGAGGGATACAGTGAAGGGACAGGAATAAGGGGGGCCAAGGTAGCAGGTGTTAGCAATAAATAGAGTAATATATAGTGGTATGACAATCAAAAAAAACAGTGTAAATTAAGAATCTACCAGAGAGGTAAAATACTCTGACCTGATGTATGGCTGGAGCAGCAAAGAGAGAGGAAGTGATGTCACCGCAGGGCCTTTTATGGGCATCATAACTTTTCTCTGATTGGTTGTTATGTTTCTATGCTGCTGGAGTTTTCAGTAAAGAAAGATATGCAAATATGAAGCCTCCTGTCATGTGGTAAAAAAGATCTTCTGGTAGATTGCCTGAATGCTTTTTATCATGACACCTTACCAGTGTTTAAAAAGACATGACATGTGCACAGTCGTTATTCGGCATGTGCTAAAACCTTAATAAAATAACTCTGTGACACCATTTCTGTTGGAGTATAAAGTCCACAGCTTTATTAAAAATTTTAATTCAACAATTTAACAATTTAGGGTCATTGTCACAAGTATTATGTCCGACCTTCTTGCCCAATACCCCCGACAATGACCCTACCAAATAACATAATAAAACATTCCAATAATACATAACGTTTAACCCATGGCCTACCAAAGAGGCCCCATAACCATATGTTTAACTGTAGGGGTGTACCCAGACACCCCTACACCCCCAGATTCGTAGCCACCAACGAGCTAGAACCTACAAACCATTTTCCACTCCGGCATAGTCCAGCCTAGACCTTGGCCTGCCCACTTCCTATTCCACCTAAATCCTCTTTAACCCAGGCCCTATTCCCGCCGCTGTGACCAAACGGGAAACTACCTACCAAACAAGACAACCTAACACAAAGGGAGGGTGGGAGGGACAAGTATCAAGTAAGTGTGATTTTGATTAAAAAGGCCAGTTCACCAAAATGGCTGTTATTTAAACCCTTATTCTCCTCCCCCCCTGTCCAGACATTACTTTTCCACACCCCTTGACCTTAACTTCACCTGCCAACTCTCTGGCCCTGTCAAGGCCCACTCCCCTCCTGTGTTGCTCCATGGGCTTCATGACATGTGCACAGTCGTTATTCGGCATGTGCTAAAACCTTAATAAAATAACTCTGTGACACCATTTCTGTTGGAGTATAAAGTCCACAGCTTTATTAGAAATTTTAATTCAACAATTTAACAATTTAGGGTCATTGTCACAAGTATTAATTATGTCCGACCTTCTTGCCCAATACCCCCGACAATGACCCTACCAAATAACATAATAAAACATTCCAAATAATACATAACGTTTAACCCATGGCCTACCAAAGAGGCCCCATAACCATATGTTTAACTGTAGGGGTGTACCCAGACACCCCTACACCCCCAGATTCGTAGCCACCAACGAGCTAGAACCTACAAACCATTTTCCACTCCGGCATAGTCCAGCCTAGACCTTGGCCTGCCCACTTCCTATTCCACCTAAATCCTCTTTAACCCAGGCCCTATTCCGCCACAGCACATGACTTGACCCCCTCAAGAACATGAGCGACCCCCACCACACAAAAACAG